ATTTTTTTTTTTTGAAAATATAAAGGGAGGTAAATTTGTAGGGAAATAAAAATAAAATGTAAAAAGTTATTTCCATTTCATTGTGACAATATCTCTAACTGTTAAACACATGAACTTTATCAATGATGAAGGCTTTTTATACTAAAAAACAAACAAAAAAACTTTGAATATTCGAGTTAAGGTGTCTTTCTCTTTAAACCTATAACCTGCTGGAATCAAAAGAGCACATCAGTGCATTCTGACTAGCCTCAGTAGCCTGTTTACTGTCAGGTTTGATCCTGGGTAACACCTTTGAGATTTTTCAGAGACACTCCGTCTTTCCTACCTTACTAGAGGTGCATTGGTAAGAAATCTAGGTAATCCTAGCATGTATCAGTGCTCTACACTGGGTATGTAAAAGAACCAAGGGGTCTATTTAATAAGAGCTAGGGACTGGTTCTCGGATTCCCTTGTAACTCATAGCTTTCTCTGAAGTGACTTATCTACAGTCATGCCTACATCCCCGCGAGGGGTTTGACATTAATGGAAGATAGATAGATAAAACTCACTTTCACCTGAGAATGGTAAAATTTGAGTGATTCACCATATGACATGAAAATATGTTTGCAAAGTGACTGTCAATATCAGTGTAATGAAAAGCGAACAGAAATTTATTAAACATTTTTTCTCACCTATTTAAAATTAAAAAAAATAAACAACTAAAGTGTATTGACCTTGTTATATAATAATGTAATGTAATATCTTGTATTTGCAGAGTTATATGAGTTCTCAGGGGCGTACCTGGAGGTATTTGAAGAATACGCCCATAAAAGTTGGGGGCCAGGTGGGTCCAGGGCAAAGCCCTGGCCAGGGGTTCAGGGGGCCTCTGGCCCCCGAAAAAATTTTATTAAGCATCATTTTAAAAGGCTGAAATGCCATAAAATAGCTTCTCAAATGTCTTTCCCTGACTAAAACTTAACCAATATAATAAAAAAGTATTAAATGTATTACAACAAAATTACAACAAACGATTAGATTTTATTCCTTTTTCATTACTATTTACTATATATTTATTCATTCATTCTTTTTTATTATAATTTTTTTATGTTTTTATTTATTTATTTATTCATTTACATCTCTGTTATAATCTACACTTTAAAATATCAAAGCCAGTCTTCTTTCTTTTTTTTAGCCGCAAAAAAATATCGACAATACGTTCAGCATCAAGCTTCTTTTCCTGGTAAATGTTCAGAAGCTCCCAAGTCGGACAGCCTCTCAGTTTGTCATGGTTGACCTGAGGTATGCATTTAACTCTACGCATTGTAGAGAACGATCTCTCTGCAGTAGCGGTAGAGACCGCGCACTACCATAAGAAGTGCCAAAGCATTTCCTTTGATATTTGGATACAATGCCTTCACTTGTAACTTTTAATGAATCCGTTAAGTTTTCTGGAGTTCGTTTCTCGTTGGGCAGCTAGTGTTGGATCAGTCCACCACGTCCTTCCACAAGACACATTCACGGAGGAATGTATCTTCGTCAACATCCAAGCAATGTCTGTAGACCCCTGTTATAGTTCTCGGCACTGTGATACAGGAAGACCAGACTTTGAAACCTATAAAATAATCGATTAATTTCAATATTCCAATTTAAAGCAAAGAATCAATTTCTTTAAATGAAATAAATGTTAAAAGAAGAATTCATCGTTATATATGTAGTAGTAATGGATTCAATGAGCATTTTCATATCTGCAGTACATGTCTTAGTAATCAAGAATAAAGTTGATTTAAAACATGTTTACAAATTATCATGAAAGCTACAATATAATGTGATTAAGTATTTGTCAAAATATATGTCGACATACAATTTCTCTCAGCATGACTCAGTTACTGTTCACACAATGAAACATATAAAATGCCCAATTTCATACAATATTTTCTATTAAAATGCTAACTGGAGAGATACTGGGTTTTATTGGTGAATTTAAAACCCACATCACCAACAGTATATCATTTACACTGTGACCGAACTTGTTTTGGTGTACGCTTCAATTTTCATGATTCCAAAATTTTTGTAAATTAACTTGTTAATGGCACGGGAAGCTTATCAGGGCCTACAGTTGATAAGATGTTTTACGCTAAGTTAACTTTTTTTTATTCGCATTTGATAAGATGTTTTCGAATGTCTCAATAAAATTTACTGACAAAGATGAGAAAGATTAAGGCATTGCAACTGAAACCTTTCTCGATATGCTCTCCGGCAAAATTCCTGTCGAAACTTCGTGATTTCACGACTTTGCTGAAATATTTAGTAAGACGCAATGACGTTTACTCGCATTGACAAATAGCTCAGGTAATTCAACAAAAAGTTTTTTGGGAATGATTAAAAAACTTATACGTATTACGTATTTATCATATAACGTCTTCACCTAATGGAATGTTTTTGGTCAAAACAAGAAGAAAAAGTTGACGTACGTGAAACTTGTACTTACGTGGGGGACACTGATAAGCTTCGGTACTCGATTCAAATGTCATTATTTCTCTAAAAAAAGTTTAAAAAACGTTTCACCGCAATGTTAACTATAAGCTTTAAATACGTTTGTTTGAATAGCGTTTTTCGCACAGACGTTGAATGTCTGACGAGCGTCGTTCAAATCAGTCATTGAAAATTGCGTTTTTCTACATTTTAAGGCATCTTGAAAAGAAAATGTGTTTTAGTTTCTAATGAATATGCTATTTATCACACATAGAAGTGAAAAAATATTCACATTTTCACACGTGCTATATTGCAATTTTCTGACTTCTCAGTGTAATAGCATATTTACTCAAAATTAACAAAAAATCGTCTATACATCAATGTTTATTGATCTATTATAAATATGAAAAAATGTCAATATAAAAGCATTTACTGACCTGACTTGGGATTAGCATTTGTGCGTTGTATCTAGGATTTGCTTGTAAAAGGCGATTCTCCAGCTCTGTTAACAGATGGTCAAGAAAAGGGTAATACATATTAATTTTCCAGAATTGCGATGATGTATCACTTGGGCCATTTGGGCGATTTCTCTGACGTCCGACGTTTCTTGGAATGCAGGGATCGACTCCTACATTCGAAGCAAGATCCACAGCTTTCTGGTACAAAGAATCCCAAACAGCAGTGCGCCCCTTTCATTCTGTAAGATAATTCGAAAATATCAAAGCGTCACAATTATGTCTATAAGAAAGATATCTAGAGCGTTTATAAAATATTGATCGTTCTGTTGAGGCTCAGTGCAAACTACCTAACCTGAAATATTCTCCTTACAAGTGACAAGTCTTTGCTGTACCTAATTACGGTTTTAACACCGTTAAAGTAAATAACCTTTGATTCATATTTATTTCATGCTGTCCAGAGGTTTACTGTAATATATCAGATGATTATGAGAACATAAACCACAAATATAATTTTCACTGTAGCCGGACAAGACCTAATTGCAGATGAAAAGAATATCATGAGTAAATGAAATAACTGGCAAAAAATGCCGTCATACATATACATTTTGCCTAAATAAAGGAAAAGAAAGTTGATGTCATCATACATCATGTTAAAAATTTAATAAACTTAGAGAAATTTAACAGAGCTATATTACAAAAGCATGATTATTTGTTTTAATTATAAGATTGAAATATATTTCATTCGGGATTACCAGCGTATTCTATTTTCACTCGTGGCTACGCGACTCGTGAAAATATTGCATCTGGTGTTCACTCAGGTTTGTGCAAAACAAACATTTACCGGTATATCCTTAATGTAATACAAAGTGGGACATAAAAAATCAATCCTCATGACTATATCTACACCTTCACATGTAAATGAGTCTATTTTATCATAAGAAATATAATCCGTTCTGATAAAAACATTTGACTTCATAAGTTCTTGCTGTAATTGTGAACATAGGTGTACATGTGAGCTATGTAGATCTCATACAGTATAAAGAAAGAAAACATTTCTATTTATAGATCGTATCACTTAAATTTCTTGTATCATTAAGAATATGAATAAAATGACCAACTTGCCTTCAATGTAGCAATCACCACTCTAGTTTCTGTGGCAGCTCTTAAGAGGTCACAGGCTTTCTGCTGTAGCATGGTTGATAGTCCAACAAGTGCAGCAAGAACATGCTCCGCTGTTACAAGGGTGATTATAAAATCAAACTTTAGCACGGATAGACTATATGCAGCTGCCTTCGTGTCGCCATTCGCACCCAGGTCCTCCAGTGATGTTACTACAGTCCTTAAACAAAATTGAATTTGAATCAAACATATATAAATATATATAAAATAATTAAATGCGTAAATATTTCATCATTTAATACACACATGTTTTATTTCAATAGATATGTGTTTAATGTAAGACATTTGTCATTAAAGCATCTCGGCAAATAATTCATAATTTATGCTTATATTGAATGTATCAAACACAGTGATACCTGTATGAGCATAAAAACGTGTGAAGAGCATCGGCCCTAGCTGCCCTACGTGTCTCACATAACGACTGAAGCTTCTGTCGCTCTTCCATTTCTTCACGGCTGGTGGGGTCACATCCGAGAGTTTCTTGAAAATTTAGCAAACGTTTTGCGGACATGTTAAAAGCAAACGCTACTGTCTGCACCGTGGCCATCATATTTCTAACGTACGTGCAGTTGGATGCGTGGACAATTGCTAAGTTCAAGCAATGGGCCTTGCAATGGGTATAAACTGCCTCAGGATATTGTTGGCGGATCCTGGCTTGGACACCTCTATATAACCCGGACATATTTGAGGCCCCGTCGTATCCCTGACCCCTTATATAGTCCATCTGTACTCCTGTTTGAATAAAGAAGTAATCATATCATTACAATTATAATAACCTTAATTATTATTATCAACATTATCATCCTTACTTCAGCCATAATATTCATCATCATCATTATCATCATCATCATCATCATCATTATCATCATCATCATCATCATCATCATTATTATTATTATTATTATTATTATTATTATTATTATTCATTTAAACAGCATTTTTAAAGAGATTTTCTATAAACTGTTAAAAACTGTTCTTTTAATATCTTTGTTTTATATTGCATACAATAATATACTATAAAATGTAAAAAATGTACAAAAGATTTTGTTAAATCAGGTTGAGTGAAAGGACCCCCCCCCCCCCCCCCAAAAAATATCTGCATTGTAAAGATGCCAAACTTTTATTAATTTGTAAATCAAAGTAGGCAAGGAAATTAATATTTTCAGTTTTAAATTGTGTTTAAACATGGATCTCAGAAAGTTATTTTAGATACTAAATTGTCGTAAATAAAGATATAATGTCATTTATGCAGTTTATTGTGTCAAATTTCTCAATCATTACCTAAACATCTGAGGTTTTCAAGAAAGGCGTTAGCCAATGCCTCCCCCGTGGTACTCTTGCACTCGGAGAAACCAAGGAATTCTTCCCTGATCTCGCTGTCCTTCAGATATCGCACACAAAGAGCCATTTGCTCCATTGTAGCGCAGTCTGTTGCCTCGTCTGCTATCAGGCTGAACATTTGAGACTGATTACATTCGGTGACGATTTCATCAGAAATAAGTTTGCCACATATGGCAATTATCTCGTTCTGAATCTTTGGAGAAGTGTAGCGCGTCCTTGGATCTCCATTTTCCAGATGATCTTTCGGAACTGGATTATTTTTAGCCTGAAATTCTAGTAGTGCTTGAAAGTTCCCCTTTCTGTCAGAATCAGCATCTTCGCGGTGACCACGGATTGGAATATTTTGCTTTCCACAAAGCATAAGGGTATCGACAATCAATGCCATAATTTTTCGGTTTTTCTCAACCAAAGCATTATATGCTGAGGATATACTGCACTCAATATCCTTTCGTTGTCGATTCTGTATCGCTATAAAGTTTTCTGCAGCAATTGAACTAGAGATATGAAGATCAGATTTCCCGTGCTTATCTTAAATCTTTTTTATGTTACTCCAGTCTGTAACTACAGTTGTTGTCAGTGCCTTGCTGCGGGGATCAGAACCAGAAAATAGAAAACACGGGGCACAAAAGACCCCATCCAGCTTTACAGAATACCTCAGCCAGCTATAAGACGTAAACCAAGCCGGTTGTTGCGTCCTAAATCTTCCACTAGCATACCTGAATGTTAAAAAATTATTGAGTGTAAATTTTTTTACCGAATTATAAAACTATAAAAAAAGAAGACAAGAATGTCATTGAAAATTAAAATTATAATATTTAGATCTAGATTCTACTTATACAAAATATTAAAAAAAAAAATATAAAGAAAAAAAATCACGCTGAAAGGTTTTGAACCGATAAAAACCATCTTCGCTAGAGTTGCTTCCCGTTGATAAAGAAGAACTGCCGAGTACCGTATTTACGGTATTAGGCTACTTGAAATCTATACGTTTATTTCCATGTCTTTGTACATTACTTCACAGGATCGATCTAGTCAGTTTTTAGCTAAAATTTCAAGGGACCTACACTATGCCCCTTGATTTTTATTTCATTTTTGGAATTTCTAACTTTATCAATTTTTTGAATTTTGCTTGAATTTATACGCCCTGGCGTATTGGCGTATCGGTAGGTACGCCCCTGGTTCTAATATCTTGTATTTACAGAGTTATATGAGTTCCAGCACTGCAGGGATGAGGAGATATGCCATGCAGCAAGAGGGACATTCTGGGAACTTGAGAATATATCCAAGTCATCTATAGGATCCTCTGTGTCTTCATCATTATCAGCAGGTTCATATATAAAATATATATCTTAACCACTTATTGTCAGCAGGTTCATATATTCAATATATAGCTTAACCACTTATTGTCAGCAGGTTCATATATTCAATATATAACTTAACCACTTATTGTCAGCAGGTTCATATATTCAATATATAACTTAACCACTTATTGTCAGCAGGTTCATATATTCAATATATAACTTAACCACTTATTGTCAGCAGGTTCATATATTCAATATATAAATTAACCACTTATTGTCGGCAGGTTCATATATACAATATATAACTTAACAACTTATTATCTGCATGTTCATATATTCAATATATAACTTAACCACTTATTATCTGCAGGTTCATATATACAATATATAACTTAAACACTTACTGTCATCAAGTTCATATATACAATATATAACTTAACCACTTACTGTCAGCAATTTTTAGAAGAAGTAAAAAATATTGTTTAAACCAAAAGTAAAAACTTACAAAAAATAAGAAGAAATAAAAAAAATATGATAGCATGTTTCAAGCTCAATGGGCCTTTAAATAAATGAATGATGATAAGAATGATTGTAAATATGTTTGTAGATAAGGATCCAAGCCAGCCTCACATTATGATAAGTTACCAGTGGGACTCCCAGGCAGTTATGATGAAGGTCAAGGACAGGTTAAGGCAGGCAGGATATAAAGTCTGGATGGATATAGAACACATGAGTGAGTTATTTCATGTACCATACATGTATGGAAATATTCTTTCAAAATGGGTTTACATAGTATAATCTTATAATATGGCACATTTGTTACATCATTTTTCATTGGATAATGGTGATGGTTATATAGTTTTATATAAATGGCTGCTGTCAAGTTATGGAGAAATCTCACTTTTTTTCTCTAAAAAAAAAGGAAGTTTGCTGTATTGTAAATTTGGTATAAAGATTCTTATCAGGTTATATGGCAGTGTTTAAATGATTGTTTGCAATATAACCCTCGCCTAGTGGCTAGAGTTATATTTACAAACAATCGTTTTTATATGGGGCCATATAACTGGTCAAAAATCATTATATTAAGTAAATAATATAAACATTACAGAACCTGTGAGAGACAAAGATTTTTATTGTAACTGAGAAGCGTTGCTCTATAGTATATCAATATATTTTGAAAATTACTGAGCTGTTGTTTTAAAGAGGTTTTTGCTCTTTAGAAGTTTCACTGAATTTACTTCATTGTTTATGATAATGACAAAGCTACATGAATGCCTCCATTGAAGGGCCATACCAGCCTCCTCTCCTGTCTTACCAGATTTTATCTCACTGACTGCATAATTTTAGTATTTTGATGTAAATATCTCGTATACTGATGAAAATTGTACAAAAATAAAATTGTCCGAAAAAGTCGGATCATCGCAGTGTATGAATTTAGAAGAAGTAATTGAAGGGAAAGGCTACTAAATGCAGTATAATAAACAAGCAAAATGTTTTAATCTAGACTTGTCAAGCTGTGATACATATATAGATGGTTATTTCTGAAGTTCTAGAACTGAAATGTTAATATTGAGTTTTGAAATATATGAAGTATGCTCAGATTGCAAATTCTTGAGAAAATTCATTAGCACAATATGAAATATTACTATACAGAAAATAATAAAATGTTAATGAACTTTTCCTATCCTATAAGCAACCATTCCTCTTGCAATCATAATAGGAATGCCTGTGATAGTATTGATTATATTGAAACATTTTAGCACAAATTTTTAATATATTTCTCCAAATGTCTAAGGATATTAACATATGACATTTATGATATTATGACATAAAAGGAAAGTGAAATACCAGTCCAGGTCATTATTAATGTCATTGAACTTTAAATTGTAAAATTATTCCTCGATCATTGTACTGTTATTTGTTTTTGAATGGAAAACAACTTTTGCATATACATGTAACAACGTTCACAAATCATGAAAGCAGCATGTCTCCAGAGAAATTGCTAATTCAAGAAAATGTTGAACACGTATTTTTTAAAGATTTATGTTGTGAAATGAACAAAAACAGTAATCTACACATATAAATGTCTGATGCATTTACCACTCGCCCATGCCATCAGCTCCAATCAATTTTAACCAAGCATCCCTATTGATTTAACCACCTCCGTGGTACAGGGGTTAGAGTTGATGACTTCTAATCCAGTTACCTCTCTGGCGTAGGTTCGATCCCCGGGAGATGCTTTGGTAGTTTAGCGCGGAGGAAGGTAGTCTAGTACTGGTGTAACTCGCCAGGAACGATGGTTAGGAAACTACCCCCCTATATGTCTGAAATACTGTTGGGAAAAAGGCATAAAATGAAACAAACAAACAAACAATCTATTGATTTGATAAGTAGTCTTATGTTAGCATCCAAGTTTTTCCTCATACAATACACCTCTATTTCCAATCCAGCCAAAGTTTACATGATTTTTTACTTCAGCTGGGTCAACTTTAGAAGCTATGGCTCTAGCTGTCGAGAAAGCTGCAGTTGTTTTAGTGTGCATGTCACAGAAATACAAGGACAGCCCAAACTGTAGAACAGGTATTTGTTTACATATTAACTGTTGAGTAAGTAAACAAGTTTTAGAATTACATTTTAGGCCCTAAATATCGGTATAGGACATTTACTGTTGTTTTTAATAGTATGCATGTTACAAAAATACAAGAACAGCCCTTAATGAAAGACAGGTTCTTGTTTTGACATTTACTATTGTGTTTAGTACAAATGTATACATGTCACTTAAATAGAACAGCCCAAATTGTAGGATAGGTTCTTATAAAGACATTTACTGTTGTGTTGATATACATGTCAAAGAAATACACAGACAGCCCAAAACAGGTTCTTGCTTTGTTAGTGGGCATATCGTAGAAATACAAGTTTGTTAACTGCTGCTCTATCTTTCACATCTTTAAATTTACATGCATGATTTTACAAGAGTTTGATATTGGAACATGTTCTCTATATACAGTACAGGTAAAATAATTAAAAAATGTGAACAAATAATGATTAAGTGACGATTACAGATAACAAGGGGAACGTGACTGGGCTCACAATAAAAATAATGTTTGTGTTGTAAACAAATTAATACAAAATGTCACCAGCGTCATTCCTTCCGAAAATACTCATCTGAGTGTTCTTTGTCCGCAAATTATGTCACGGTATACCATACCAGGCCTAGGAAACATTCACCCTTTCGCTCCACTCTCCACAGAATTGTCCAGGAGTCTGCCATTCTGATCTTTCTAGTGATTTTTTTATTGTATTAATTTAGAAATCACACTATCTGATCTTAAGACAACATGAGTATGTACAGTAAATTTAAGTATTTATCAGTGGTAAAGTATTCTTTATCTATGAAACACAGGTTAGCTGATAAATTTAACAAAGTCAGGAAAAGTAAAACTGATAATTACTGTATACATTGATTAATAGGAAATACCCAATGTCCCAGATAAGTTAAATGAAATAAAGTATGTCAGACCTACCACATCAATCAGTCAGTGGGTCAGAATTGAATACGGAGTCCGATGCAGACATCAAACATGCAGGTCAGCTCTAACTGTTCGGTCCCTCTGGAGCCCATTTGCGAAAAACATCACTTAAGTACCTTGAATTTCCCACTTTCTTCTTTGCCCTATCCTGACTGTGACCTTGTATTTGCCTTCTTTATATAGATTTTGCCAGCAAGTCGATTCATTTCCCATTGATATGGTATTATAATGATTCCCCCCACCATCATTTTGTTAATTATGCCCCCACTTAAATATTGTCTGTCTGAAATCTCAATTTCTATCAGTTAGATGTATTAAATGAGAAAATATTTATTAATTTAGATGTATTATTTTCAGAAGCAGAGTATGTTTATAGATTAAGAAAAGACTTTGTACCGTTGCGACTTCAGAGGGAATATATACCGGATGGTTGGCTAGGAATCCTTGTTGGAACACGGTTATACTTTGACATATATTCCGAGGACCAGCTAGATGTCCAGGTTCCAAGACTGGTAAAAGAGTTGCGTGATAGAGGAAAAATTAGTCCAACACTAGATCAGCCTGATCATTCTAGATGTAAGTTTAGACTTAATTCAACAAAATTAGTTGCCATGGAGATTAAGGGACTCCACTGAGGTTCTTTTGACAAGACAGGATTTGAAACATTTTCCCTACATTTGTGTTCCATTTGATGTATGTCTGAACTGATGTAATGTTACACTTAGGTCATCAGCAGTATTATGCATGCAACCACTTTTATTATGGTATTTGTAAATGGAATCTTCTCAAGGGCAAACAATTGTTTGTCATAAATGTATGAAAATAGAAATAATAAATTTCTTATCCAACGTCTTGAAATTTTTCTGTGTAAAAGTTTTCTTTGGCAACTAGAAGAACAAGAAAAATTAACTTCACTTTTTTAATCAATATAATTTTTCATAAGATAAGTACTATATTTCAGTCTTGTTTTATTATTCTGCCCTTTTGGATAAGTTTTATTATTCTGCCCTTTTGGATAATTTAGTTTAATCTAAAACTTTCAGCGGTGACAATTAGATACTACTTTAACTGAGATATGGGGGCTTGAGATGTTGCATTTACTGTTGAATTTATAATATTATGATTAATGCATTATTATTTCATTTGAAAGTACCAATAGTGCCACAAAGGATGACATCGAGGGAGGCTGTTCCGATCCTTCACCACCCAGCAAGTCCTACTGTCTCGAGTTGGACTCCTATTGATGTTAAACATTGGCTTACATCTATTGGTCTCTGTGACTTTGTACAGAAGTAAGACAATTTTATTATGTATACTGGGAAGGAACCAGTTTCCGGACAATACCAGTTTCCGGACAAGTATTATAACGGCTTAATTTTGGCTTTATCGATGATGATCGGTATTTTATGTCATGAAGAAGCTTGGTTTGATAGTTTGTGAAAATAAACTTCCTTCCAAGTTGATACATCATTAAAATTTCGTGAGGATATCTTACCTGTGTTTTAAAAACAGCCTTCATAATATCCCTTTGGGGCATGTAATTTGTTCTGCGCATGCGCAATATTTTGTTTATTTCGGGCTATAATTTGGGGTAGCAATTAATGCACAATGTTTTTCTTTCGAAGTTCATTGGGTGTAATTCCCCAGAGCTAAATCTGTTACGTATCGGAAAACGGTGTTTGGCTAGGTTTACTCCACGTTCGCACTTCTTTGCTGCCGTACACACAAAAAAATCGGTTTCACTTTTCAGTCATTCCGAGACTCATCACGTGATCATTATTTTTCCTATCATAAACATTTTTCAGTAAATCAGCTTAATTATATAAGAAAGCTATTATGTGAGAAGAAATTTTTTGTTATATTAGAATAATTATCAGTTAAAAAAAGAAATGAATAGCACCTTAATATATGTCGGGAAACTGGTTCTGCAAGAGTGAACAATTTACACTTTTAATGACCTAATTTAACCCTTCAGTTTGCACATTGCTTACGTCACCAGGCAGCATTAATTGTGTTATCGGATGTAGTTAGAGCTCAGGTTTTTGGTATGTCAGTTTTATTAATGCATGTTTATTATTTAAAAATAGACAATAAAAAAAACTCGAATTCTGTCCTGAAAACTGGTTCCTGCCCAGTATAGCTTCTGTAATGAAATGAAAAAATAAGTTTCATTTGTTTTAATTAAAGAAAATAACAAAAAGAGATGAAAAAATATCAAAATTATTAAAATATTTGTGTCTGATGAATGTAAAATTTCCCTGCCTCCTTAATATATAACTCTCTGTTTAAGACATGGTGTCCCAGGTTTTCAATGCTTTATCCTAATATCATACAAAACATAATGATATTATCATATCTATATAATTTGAGTTCAATAGGCAATCTCATTTTAAAAAATGGCACATAAAACAGTGTTTATTGAAGTTTTGGACATTATTTTGCTTTATGATGTGTGATTAAGAATTTTACAAATTATGTCATTTTATAGACAAAACATTAAGCTTATAGTAGACATGTTATAAAGCTATCCTCATGCTAACTGAAGACTTGTAAGTCTGTGTAAATTGACAAGCTGTGTTAGTTTCTTAAAATTAAAGTGGCCTAATCAAGATTTAGACTTTACCGATAATTTACAGATAATTCAATATGTGCATGTAGTAATAGTTATACCATTGCATATATTGATATATTATCAAAAATGTTTGCAAAGACCCACTTTCATTTCAAATCAACTGACATTTTCATAAAGGTTATAGTTCTGATTTATTTTCTGTATTTCTAGTTTTGACGATATTGATGGCCTGCTAATTCTGGAATTACAGAAGATTCAGGAGTCTGCACCGGAATATTTTCACACCATTCTACGCAACGATTTCAGCCTTACAGTAACAGAAGCCCTCAAATTGTCCAGACATCTCAGGCAGTTGTCTTAATGTATGTCTGGTGATTTTGTGTACTTTAATTTCAACATAGGTTGTGTTAACAGAAAGGTCTAATATTACTATATTAGTAGCTCTTAGAATGGCTTTAAATTCTATAAAGTAATGAAAAGAACAATGGAAAGATAAATAGGGTAATCACTGTTTTATCAGTTTGTGTGGAAAGTCAGTCTGTCACATTTGCCGACCATTTCTCATGACACCTAACCTTCATTTATTGACTAATACAGATATAAAATAAATGTGTTGATAACTTTGAACAGTCAGTTGAACTCAATGTTTTTGTTGGGTTTCACATTGATTGGACAAAGGTTGAAGAATCTCAGACTAAATAGAATTTTTTTGAAATTTTCCTCGCAGTAATGGCTTTGTTCTGAGTGACATTGTGGAGCATCTTCTTGTGTAATGGATGCTCTTAATGTAAAGTGTTCAGGCCTCGAGATTATAAAACATTTATTTTTAGATGTGCTTGGAACATGAGATTTTCATTGGTCAAGGCTCATCTAATGCTAGTTTCTGACCAATCAAATACTTGAGATCTGAGTTTTAGGAAAGAACATTTCTTTATAACCTACCACCCATATCTTTTGGTTATATGTGTGTCTTTGCATATCCCATTTAATATTTGTGTACCGGTTGATCCCACTGAAGTAAAATTGCCTGTATTAATGACATATACATGTATATGATGGACATTGTATAAATGTTAAAAGAATCACAAGTTTAACCAAAGAAATAGCCTTTTCTTATATGTATTTACATGAATTTAAGTATATTTATTTATTTCCTTCTTTATTTAATATTTTAATGTTGATATTCCTTTCATCTGTGATATTATTTGATTTTTAAGTATGCATACTTTGTTAAAGATTTTTGAAAACGTCCACATTTTGCAAATGTTTTTTTTGTCATCACTTGATTATACTTTTTATGAATCTCTATAGAATTAGCATTACAAATGTCTCCAAGCATATAACTTTACTTTGAGCACCTTTAGATTCAAGAAACCTGACGAAAGAAAATGGAAATGTTAAGTTTAAGAAAAGTCTTATAATCATTACGAAAGTCACACTTATGCAAAATACGACATAATCTATCATTTTTGTGTCGCCTCTACGGAGTAGTGGCGACATATAGGGATCACTTCTCCGTCGTCTGTCTGTCCGTCACAAAACTTGTCCGGACTACTCCTCATAAACTACTGGTGCAATTTCATCCAAACTTTACAGGAATGATCAGTACCAATTCTAGTTGTGCATATTGTCAGCATTTTTCGGTTCAATGATTTTTGGCAGAGTTATGGCCCTTTAATAATTTTTAGCTCACCTGTCACAAAGTGACAGGTTGAGCTTTTGTGATCACTTTTCGTCTGGCGTCCGTCCGTCGTCCGTCCGTCTGTAAACTTTTACTTTAAATGACATCTCCTCATAAACCACTAAGCCAATTTCATCCAAACTTCACAGGAATGTTCCTTTGGTGGTCACCTTTAAAAATTGTTCAAAGAATTTAATTCCATGCAGATCTCTGGTTGCCATGGCAACCAAAAGAAAAAACTTTAAATATCTTCTTTTAAAAAACCCTAAGAGCTAGAGCTTAGATATTTGGCATGAAACATCTTCTAGTAAGTGTCTACCAAGTTTGTACAAATAAAATCACTGGGGTCAAAATTGGCCCCGTCCCAGGGGGTCATTGATTTTCCCTATATGCATATAGTAAAATCTTAAAATCTTTTAATTCATACAATTGAACTAGCATTTCTTTACTATATTGTGCAAACAGGCAAGATATTTGGAAATAAGCCAGTTATAATGATCTGTCTTGAAACTGTAACAATGACAATAAATATATTGGGGAGGTAATAAGAATGGAGGAGCTGTGTATGTATTATATGTTAATACGCCTTCAACTCTCCATAAATATGTCACTGGATGTGGTATAAACTTGGCATACTAAATGTTTTCTCTGCCCTAAAGTAATACATGCTTTCTCAAAAAGTGACGAAACCAATGTACAACATTTCCTGAATGCCTCTGCGTCTGTTTTGATTTATTGTTTTCCTACGGCAAGTTTCACCATTGGTTGACTAGTGAAACTTGAAACTTGAAACTTGAAAACTTGATTTAACGCCTATTTCTACATATAGAATACATATTCAATGGCGTTGTACAGCTATATACCTTATATGTGCTACTCCCAGTGCTACCATACACAATACTCCCAGCAGTGCGACGGTCACAGTGATTGGGTCAATCCCCACCAACATGTAACAATCTACACCCCTGCACCCCTGCACATGATAACACATGGGCTAGACTTTATTATATTATTATACATTGAAAATAATAAAAACACTAGAAATAGACAAACATGCACAAAACAATTAGGAACAGACAATGCCTTCAGCGTCACTTAAAAAAGTGCAAAAAAGTCCTTGAAGTAAAATGATTTCAGTTGTCTTTTGAAAATTTCAACAGATTCACATTTTCTCATATTAATAGGTAGTTCATTCCACAATTTTGGTCCTATCGTGCTAAAAGCTCTGTCAGAAAAAGTCCTCTTCTTATTAAAAGGAACAACATAACAACCAACTGAGGATTCAGATGATCTTAAGGTTCGTTTTGACACTTGATGAGACAAAAGCTCTATTAAATATGAGGGTGCGTTTCCTACCGAACAGTTATACATGTATGTCAGTATCTTGAAACTGATTCGTGCTTTAATCGGAAGCCAGTGCAGATCGAATAATGCCTGTTTAGAACTATCATACTTGGAACGACCTAACACCAGTTTGGCACACATATTTTGAATACGTTGAAGTTTGGCTAATTCATTTTGAGATATGCCGTATAGAATGATGTTGCAATAATCTAAATGGGATATTACTAAAGATAAAACAAGTGTTTCAGCGGCTTCCTTTGTCAGATACTTTCGAATGCTCTTGATCTTGAAATAGTTTAATATAGCAGTTCTACACTTTCTTTTAATGTGATCTTTGAAATTTAGAGACTCATCCAAAAAAGCACCAAGATACCGTATACAATGTTGTGATTCAATAACATTACCACATATATTGATTTCTCTGGTGTTACACTTATTCAGCTGTGGACGACTTCCGAAAAGAATAAACTCTGTCTTTGAATTGTTCATTTTTAACTTGTTGCTGTTCATCCACTCATTTATATGCACTGCACAGTCCTGGAGGTCCCGAATTGCGCTTGCTTCTGCGGTAGGTGATGGTTTAAAACGTTTATTCGCAACGTGGTCGTCGGCAAATCCGTGCACGGAAATGGAGGGAGGTACAATGTCAAAGATAGTTCCTGCGTACGTCAAGTAGAGCCAAGGGCCCAAACAGCTTCCCTGGGGGACACTACAGTCAAGTTCCCGTTCTGATGACACATTCGAGTTAACACTCACTCGACAGCTACGCGGCCTCAAATATGAATCTATCCATTCCAGCGCAGATCCAAAGACGCCATATTGACTTTCAAGAACATTTAACAGTATGTTATGGTCAACAGTATCAAAAGCAGCACTTAAATCTAGAGCTATCAGTGCAGTGACCTCTTGATGCTCCATTGCATCAAGAATGTCGTTTACGAGTCTAAGAAGGGCTGACTCACAGGAGTGAAACTGACGATAGGCCGACTGATTCGTTGGAAGGAGATCGTTTCCGTTTACATGTTTGTTTAGTCGATGAAGGGCGGCTTTTTCAATCAATTTGGACAAGAATGACAAGTTGCTGACGGGTCGATAGTTGGCAAATGTGAGTTCAAGACCAGATTTTTTCAACAGAGGCCTGACTATTGCCTTTTTCCATTTAGCTGGAAAAACACCTTGCGTCAGAGAAAGATTCACAAGCGTAAGGTTCACTAGTGTAAGGTTAACCAAGATAAAAAAGCAGTGGGGGAATAAACTTGCATTCTAATCGAATTATTTTTAAGTAATTTCCGGATATATATTTTACTGAGAACCTTTTATAAAATTTATTTCTGTCAGAAAAAGACTTGAATATGTTATATTTTGTGTTCTTTCTCTTTAGCGCATAAGGCATCAAAAAGTCTGTCACAAGTCTTGCTTTCATTCCGGCGATTGTCTTCCATCAGATCTAAATTTTGCTGAAACAACTGTTTAGGGTCTATACAGAGATGATGAGAGTGTATAGCGCCTTCAGTTCAAATATCAAGGTCACACGAATACATCAAAGAATTATTAGATACTGGTGTTTTAATTTATGGATTGATTTTTTAATTTTTAACAAATGTAGCTGATATGTCATGTAAAGCCAAGAATTGAAATCACACACATTTTTAAAGTTAAACATGCCTTAGTCCCAAGTTAATTCCATAATGGCATTGATGGGTTAGTAAAGACTTTGCTGTCAGTATTGACAATTAAAGGGTGGATTGGGCCGCTATAAAACATTGCCAGTTGTGGTTCAGTAATAATTTCATTGAGATAAAAATATAATTTGAACTATCTTTCATCTTGGCAGTCAAGGGACTTACCCTTTGAAATAAATGATTATTCATTTAGAAGATGTAGATATTTATTTTTCTGTAACAGTTTTGATAATCATCTTGTTTTGGTGTATGGGACATTTGCATCATGTGTTATAATTGTTAATATTGATAGAATTGTTATAAGCAATTTACGAAACTTGTTCGTATTTTCTATTTATTTTATAGCTAGAGTGATTCAACTTTATTTTTATGCTATTTTAAATACACACACTTATACACGTGTTTCTATTTTTAGCTCACCTGTCACAAAGTGACAGGGTGAGCTTTTGTGATCGCTTTTCGTCCGGCGTCCGTCCGTCCGTCCGTCGTCCGTCCGTAAACTTTTGCTTTAAATGACATCTCCTCATAAACCACTGAGCCAATTTCATCCAAACTTCACAGGAATGTTCCTTTGGTGGTCACCTTTAAAAATTGTTCAAAGAATTTAATTCCATGCAGAACTCTGGTTGCCATGGCAACCGAAAGAAAAATCTTTAAATATCTTCTTTTAAACAACCCTAAGAGCTAGAGCTTAGATATTTGGCATGAAACATCTTCTAGTGAGTGTCTACCAAGTTTGTTCAAATAAAGGCCCTGGGGTCAAAATTGGCCCCGCCCCAGGGGGTCATTGATTTTCCCTATATGCATATAGTAAAAACTTAAAAAATCTTCTTTTAAAGAACCCAAAGAGCTAGAGCTAAGATATTTGGCATGAAACATCTTCTAATGTGTGTTTACCAAGTTTGTTCAAATAAAAGCCCTTGGGTCAAAATTGGCCCCGCCCCGGGGGGTCATTGATTTTCCCTATATGCATATAGTAAAAACTTAAAAAATCTTCTTTTAAAGAACCG